TGTATGTGTGCATGTGTGTATGCATGTGTGTATGCATGTGTGTGTGTGTGTGTGTGTGTGTGTGTGTGTGTGTGTGTGTTTGCGTGTGTTTGTGCTCGTATTTACACATCATTTATTATGTCTGTACGTTACCAGGTTCCGCAGTGGCCGGGGTTGTAGGTAACAAAATGCCGCGCTACTGTTTGTTTGGAGATACCGTCAACACAGCCTCACGCATGGAATCAAACGGATTGCGTGAGTTCTTTTTATTTCTTCTTTATCTTTTCCCCCTCTTGATAATGCGATGATGTCACCCCATCCCCACCCTTACCCCCATTCCTTTTCCATGTAAACACCTTTTACTTTATTATGTTTACATTGAACAGATGCAAAGAGTATCTAGATTGTAAATCAGAGTACAATGTACTGTTTACACGTTGTCACTTGTATAAAATATGGTATCTTTTAAGCACAGGGGGGCTATCCCGAAAGTGCTGTTTTGAGAAAATCGAAGGTAAACTTTTTGCCCCTTGTTCAGTTTTTTTTTAAATACAAGGAGAGTTTTCTCTATAACCAAACAAAATATACACACCAATGAAACCAAACTTCCCATACAGGTAGGGCAATCTTCACTTTTGGTGAAGGTCAATATTTCTGGAAACCCCCAAAATCTGGGTTAGCCCATTTGTCTTTAATTAAAAGCGACCATATTATTTTGTTTTTGTAAAGCACTCAATGCATGTGCTTTTTCAACCCTGACAGACGAACGGCAATTGTCGCGTAGTAAATTCTGCGCTGAAAGTGTCGCTTACTTTTGTGTGTCAGCCACACGGGGCGACATTCGCTACTGCTCAGTTCAACATATACGATCGGAGAGTCAGGGGTGGCTTTGGTCCAGTGGCGTGGCGCCATTGGTGCAATTGGTGCAAGCGCTCCACCTAACCCTGGCCTTCACCCCCCCCACCCCCTTTTCTTATTGTTCTAAACCAGTCAGGGCTCTAGGCCTAGATCTACATTAAGCCTACTACTACATCCTTGCGATCCTTCACCCGCTGGCTGCGCCAGTGAAGAGACAGACGGCGAGGATGGTTAATGCTCGTCGCACCGCTTGCGGTAGTGTCTGCTGGGAGCAAGCAAAATCTTTGCACCAAAGTCATTTTTGTCGCTGTAGAGAAATCTAGGTAACGTTCTTCCCGCACAAGGAGAAAGGTGCATGAAACTGCTCTTCGCAGCACCAATTTGGTGCAAGCTAAAAATTGGATCCAAGCTTCGGCGAGCCTATCTACTACACTAGTAGAGTCTACGGCACGGTTACTCAATGAAGAATGGGTATCGAAACTGATGTCTCCCTCTATTGTGTTACAAGTTCTGGTGCTGCACGAAGTAATTACAAATCTTTAAATCAATCAGATTATGCACATAATGAGTTGTTAGTATTGTTTCACTTTATTGCAGCTTTTACGCGGTTTCATCTATAAACAGTTGTAAATATTGATATATGTCGATTACGGGATATCCTGCAGATTCTAATTGACTTTCTCCAGTAATCTTAATAGTAGCTTCTAAGCCTATTGCCCATTAGCTCACTTTCCATTTATGCACCACCTTGTCTGCAACTCACGCGACGCCACTGCTTTGGTCATGGTTGGAATATTGCCGTGTTGAATGAGAAGCGAGAAAAAAATTCAATTATTGTTGGAATGCGCCGGCAGTAAATACATCTCGTGTTTACGCGTCCTTTGAACGGTGTGCTTCATCAAAACGCTGGTTTGTCTCGTAGTAGCAGAAAGTTGGGCGTTACACGTCTGCTACGCTAGGACTGAAAATAACGCCTGTCGCTCGTTTAACCGCTCCCATTGTCTAAAGTGTATACTAGACTGCGCAGAAATTAATGCTGCGATATTTACATCTCGACTTTAACAGGAGTTGAGCTTTAACTCCTTTCAATCATTATTTCATAGCAACGTCAATAGAGTCACTGACTCGACGTAGGGCCGTGGTGTTGATGAGAATGTGAAAAATGATGATGGCATTGTGAAAAATGATGAAAAATATGAAAAATGATGCTAACGGTATAAAAAGTGATGATGACACAAAAGTACTCGTGTTTTCGTCAGCTAACCGGATCCATGTGAGTGAGACCACCAACGACCTGCTACTGAGACTTGGAGGTTTTGTCACGGAGCGGAGAGGTGTCATAGACGTCAAGGTGAGGGGTTCTACTATAGAGGTGTTATATACGTCAAGGTGAGAGGTTCTACTGTAGAGGTGTTATAGACGTCAAGGTGAGAGGTTCTACTGTAGAGGTGTTATAGACGTCAAGGTGAGATGTTCTACTGTAGAGGTGTTATAGACGTCAAGGTGAGAGGTTCTACTGTAGAGGTGTTATAGTCGTCAAGGTGAGAGGTTCTACTGTAGAGGTGTTATAGTCGTCAAGGTGAGAGGTTCTACTATAGAGGTGTTATAGTCGTCAAGGTGAGAGGTTCTATTGATAAAGAGGAGTTATAGACGTCAAGGTGAGAGGTTCTACTATAGAGGTGTTATAGACGTCGATGTGAGAGGTTCTAGTGATATAGAGGTGTTTTAAGATAAGATAAGATAAGATAGTACTTTATTATCCCAGAGTGAAATTTTCCTTGGCTGTACAGGACCGTAAAAACACATGCAGGTATACATAAACAAATTAAATGATATATATTACTCTCATTAAAATTCAATATGGAACGAGAAGTAAAGCTGACAAAATGTACATTTACATCAAATGCATCATTCAACCACATGCAGGAATTCAAATACCAGACCTTTGGAGTTATATACAGATACATACTCTAAGAGCAATACACATCTATGCTCATTCTGGCAAAAGCCTTACGCTAGATGGTAAAAAAAATTCTTGTATATCTTTCTTTCTTTGTTTTTGGAGGTACATATCTGCCGCTGCGTGATCTTACAATTTGTGTGGAAAAGGGGTGTGATGGGTCGTTTATAATGCTTTTTATCTTTTTTATACGTGTGGTGTTATACATTTAATCCATTCTATTAAAATCATATCCAGAGATCTTTCTGGCTGTCTTAATGGTTCTGTCGATTTTTTAAAAATCTTTTACCTTACAATTCCCACCCCAACAGAAAATACAACAAAAAAATAACACACTTTCAATCATAGAATGGTAAAAAAAGGGACATAATCTTATTGTCAACACGGAAACTTCTTAATTAAAAGAAACATTCTTTGATTTACTTTTTTATGCACAAGAGCGGCGTGGGGATGCCTGTCAAGCTTGTTGTCGATTGTTACACCAAGATACTTGTAAGAGTTAACCACTTCAACCTCTTCATCTTTAATAAATAGTGGTTGCAATTGGTCTTTTTTTACTCTAAAGTCTATTATTAATTCCTTTGTCTTTTTTACATTTAGTAAAAGGAAGTGGTTATCGCTCCAGTTTGTAAATAGATTCACAGCGTCCCTGTATTCATTTTCATTTGTTGTTATAAGGCCTTGTAGAGTCATCCGCAAATTTTATTAGTTTGATGTTTTTGTTATCAAAAGTACAGTCGTTGGTGTAGAGCGTAAACAAGACAGGGGAGATTACACAACCTTGGGGCGCACCGGTGTTCGTGAATATTAGGTCGGATTTTACACCATTTAATTTTACATACTAAGGTCGATTGGTTAAGAATTCAAGAATCCAAGCTATAATATTCTTGTTTATGTTCATGTTAATTAATTTTGAAACCATTGCGTGCGGTTGGATTGTGTTGAATGCGGATGAAAAGTCAGCAAAAAGTATCCTTCAGTAATTTCTTGGTGTGCCTAAGTGTTTGTAGATGTTATCTAAGAACACGAGAATGGCATCCTCCACGCCCCTCTTGGCACGATAGGCATATTACTATGTTTACCTGTATGTCTTCTGTTGATTTCCTTAGTTCTTTCAAAACCAGTTTTTCATGAGGACTGATGTTAAAGCCACAGGTCTTAGGTCGTTCAAATTTTGTATTGATTGTTTCTTTGGGACAGGAATTATTTGAAAGCATTTTTCCATGAGAGCGGTATTATTCGTTCTTTCAAAGACATATTGAAAATATCAGTATAAATGGGAGATAACTGAGTAGAACACATTTTAATAATTTTACTTTTTACTCCATCGGGTCCACTCGCTTTGTGAGCTTTTAGACGATTAAACATTATCTTGACCTCATTAACATTGACCACAAAAATTTCGTTGCTCTTGTCATAGTCTTCGTCTGTGTTGTTGTTGTCGTCTGTGTGGTCATTTTGAATCGTCTCTTTGACAGTTGTCAGCTGGTCGGAGAAATCGTGGTTGTCAAAACGAGCGTAAAAAGAATTCAGTTTGTCTACATACTGACTTGGGTTCATGTCTTGTGTAGGAATGTTTGTCCGTCTTGATGCGTCTCCAACTATAGTTTTTCAACATTGCCACGTCCTTTTTGTGTTGTTAGTAGTGAAATGTTGTTCTAACTTTTCTTTGTGAACATGCTTACACTCTCTTATCTTTTTCTTAAACATATTATTTGTTGTTTTTAATTTGTCTCGGTCTTTCAGTTTGAATGCCTTCTTCTTCTCATTTAATATTTCCTTTAACTCCTTGCTAACCCATGGCTTGTTATTTTGGGTAGTAGATGAATTCTTTTTTAGATGAATGTAGGTCTTCACAAAACCTGATGTAACCAGCGATAGTCTCACATAATTCATCTATACTATTACATGAATCTTTAAAAACATTCCAATTCGTACTTTCAAAGCAACCTCTCAGGCTCTCCCTGTTTTCTTCACCCCAGACGGTGACAATTTTTTAAATTGATTTTTGAAGATCTTAGTTTAGGTTTGTACTTCGGTAATAAAAGAGACATGCAATGATCAGAGTTTCCTATTAGAGGTAGAGAGGTACATTTGTAGGCATTAGAAACATTTAGTTTTGTCCTCACGGGTTGGTATATTAACATATTGGTGGAAAGTGGGGAGGGCAGAAGTTAAAGAGCATTTGTTAAAATCCCCAGTGGTTACTTTTACACCGTCAGGACAAGAAGACTGTTGTTCGTGAATCATTTCGACCAAAGTGTCCGTGGCAGCTTTAACATTGGCTTGTGGTGGAATATAAACAATATTGGTTGTTATCTTACGAAATTCCCTCGGTAGATAGTACGAGCGAGTAACAACAGTTACATTCAATATCAGGTGTACACAGTTGGAGTTTAATATGAATATTATTACGACTACACCATTTCTCGGTCACATACACACACACTCCTCCGCCTCGTTCTTTGTTACAGTCAATCGTCCTGTCACAACGCACCAGATGGAATCCGTCAATGTCCACACTGTTGGTACAAATACTGTCCTTGAACCACGGCTCGCTAAAACAAATAAGCGAGGCCTCTCTGTACTCGTGCAGAAACCTAACATTTGGACAGAGTTCATCCATTTTACTATTTAGTGACCTTGCATTACCAGTTACGAAAAAGGTAAAAACGATATAAAAGTTCTTCTTCTCCCTCTCAAACGTACTCATCCCTTCCTTCCCCGTTTACGAGGTCTCATTTCACGGGGTAGAACGACTTTGAAAACACTGTTTCTGTTTGCCGGTCTAAGGCGTTTTAACATGGCTGAACTGTAGGTCTGTCTCAATGGTGGAGCTTCACTCAAAACTCTGAACTGGTGAATTTGCACTGACACACTCAAAACAATCAAAAGCACAAGAAATATGGCACAACTGAAAGACTAAAGATCCATATTAATAAATAAGTTATCACAATACCGTGTAAAAATTGAGTAAGCGTAAAAATGTATCCAAAATATGGAGATCTGTACACGCCTCGTCGCCACTGAGCAGCGCCGTCAATGTGGGAGGTTCAACTTATATATAGATGATATAAACGTCAAGGTGTGAGGTTCTACTTAAATAGAGGTGCAAGAGACGTAAAACAGATATAAAAATTGAAATTTCAGTGCGCATTTTCCTTCGTTTTATTGATGATCTTAACAATCATTAGAGTCTTACTGTCATAACACAATTAATTGTCCAAGTGATTGTTACCAGGCGTTTGTTATCCGCACAGTAAAATGCCTATTACTTGTTTCATGTTCTACGTATAGAAGAGTTTTGTTTGGCGAACTAAAACATTCTAATTATTGAGACATTTTCAGTTGTATCAAGCTCTCAGGTTGATTTATAAGGTCTGATGTCTTTGGAAAAAAGGTTTCTATAAAGAACCAAGGCAATACAAACAAAGTGTATAAATTAGATATCAAGGTGGGGAGTTTTATTAATAGAGGTATTTATTATTATCAAAGTAAGATCTTTCTAACAGATGAAGTAAAGGAGGCACTTGAATGCGTAAATGTCGAGAACTGGGCCAAAGTTAAAAATAAGACATAAAAGAAAGAAGTAAGACCCACAAGTGCCATCTTCTATCCATCCTTGTACAAAACATACTCTGGTTTTAAAACGACCATTACATTTATAACGTTAAGAATGTGACGAACGATCTCAGATCAGAGTATTTTCATTTCTGTTCCTCTGTAATGTGTATATGTGTTTGTCACAGGGGAAAGGTGCCATGGAAACGTACTGGCTGCTGGACACAGAGAGGCCTTTGAGAAGTACCAACGACCGGAAGGGACTGCCTGACGTCACAGGAAACAGCCTCGTTCTGGACGTAAGAGACCTGGAATACAAAGAAGACTCACCACAGGTGGTTTACTGAATACAACCTGTGCTCTGTCTTCTTCTTGCGACATGATAATCTGATTTCCATCTCTGTAAACAAAGGTGCAAACTAGGGCTGGGCAGGGAACAACCAATTAAAAATAAGATGTTTGTTAAAGTTAAAGTTTAGATGTTGCATCAAATCAGGCTTAACGTGAACAGCTTTGCTTGTTTTGATACGCTGATTCCGAAAATGAAATCAGATTTTAGCTCCAATATGTTGAGGTTTTTTAATTGCTTGTATAGTAAAATTTGAAAGGCATTCTGAGTCCCGGCTCTGGAGGACCATGGAATTGCCACTCTCTTTTTAAAAACAGGGAAACAATTCAACCGGGGAACAGCGACTACGCTAAGCGAATATCTCGTCTTGGTGGCATTAATCATGGCATTGATGTGAAAACAATTTTGGTTTAAAGCATTTTGAAGGCTGTATTCTATTGTGAAAATAATATCAAATTCGGAACTAGTGCATCGAAATTAGCTAAGTGACTCGCGGCTGATTCTTTTTTTTTTTTTTTCTGAATTTAGGAGATCGCAAGAAAAAAAAAAGTATTTCAAATCATCTGCATTATATGGTAAAATGTATTTTTTTCACAAAACGGGAAGAACAACTGTCTGTGATAACTAAACTCGTAAAAAGACCTTTAAAATCAGAATTGGGAGAGGCTAGCTGTGACACCGAATCTCTTTGAAGTGTGCACTCTTGAGCAGTTTTAACTATAATACTGTACTTCAAATTAAGAACACATGCACACACACACACACACACACACACACACACACACACACACACACACACACAAACACACACACACACACACACACACACACAAACACACACACACACACAAACACAAACACCCCCCCCCCACACACACACATACACACACTCATACGCGCGCGCGCAATACTCAGACTCACAGAGATGTGACTGATCATTTACCAGTTTTGATTCCCTACTTCGAAATCAAAAGGGGACGGATTAGTGGTGCGCGCCAATCGATACCTGTACCCAGTACTTATTAAGAATGACCCCTTTGGCTTTTGTTGGGTTTCTTTGTTTGTTTGTTATTTGTTTCTTGTTGTTTGTTTGTTTTCGTTTGGTTTGTTTGGTTGTTGTTTTTTACTTTTTTTTGTTGGGGCTTTTCTTTTTTTTTTGGGGGGGGGGCTGCATCTCCCCTCAACGTTTAACAGCAACAGAGGATAGAAAACGTAAAAAATAAAAGTTAGCAATAGGAAAGAGTTGTACAGGAAATTTTAATTGGGGAAAAAATTTGCCAAAGGGAAAGTAACAAAGTCTTAGTGAGAGACTCTAATCCGCAACTCCGTAGGAAAGCCTACCTAAACAGAATATGTTGTTTGCTGTACTTTTTAAAAAAGAGCATAACTCCACTGCTCATACACGTTCTCCGTTCTCCTTTTTAATCTGAAACATTCAGAAGAAGGCAACAATCGCATACTATGAATTATGTTGACTTACATTTCTGATACGTGAATGCTGATTTAAAATGCATTTGTGAGTGTATGTGTGTATGTGTATGTGTGTATGTGTGTGTGCATGTGTGTTTGTGTGTTTGTGTGTGTGTGTGTGTGTGTGTGTGTGTGTGTGTGTGTGTGTGTGTGTGTGCCTGGAGAGAGGTTCCAGTTGTCGGCAAAGCTATTTTTGAGCTACAGATGACCAGGTAAAAAAGTCGCACCTGGTCCAATATTTAGTTCCGTCAGATGACTCATCTTTAACGATTTCTTAATAACACATTGAAAGGATTTATAATATTTTAAGTCTACATATTATTTTCAAATAGTTATTTTGCAACATGATGTACTTCACCAAAAGTTTTTAAAGCTATAAAGTGTTTTTTCTTCTTTGTTTTAACACCCTGTGTTACTAAATATAGCATATCTTTAATTTACCCAAGATATTTGGAAAAATGTTTCAATAACCAGAATTCTCGACAACTCGGACTTTTCTCAAGGCACTCACACATGTATACGGATTTATTGCCTTTGGTCTCTTGCTGATCAGACTTACATGTCCACTACGTCCATAAAACGTTATACGAATTAATAATTGTAGCCATGAGTAACTCTTATTGCTGCATACGGTCAAAAAGCATAGATCGCACCAGTAGCGCAAGAAATAATGCTTGCGCCTGGTGGCAGATGTGCTAAGGTGTGCGCACTCTTTTTCATGTAGATTGTTTCAATAACGTTTTGCCCCATGATTGTCTGCGCCGCCCGGCTGTGGTTTGGCATTTACTCCAATATTCCAATACCCATCATTTTGATTAAAGAGGTTTAAAATAAATAATCAAACCTTGGTTTTTAAAACTGAAGAGGTCACTGTAGTTTCTCAAGTGGTCATGGAAATACCTGGCAATGGTTTTGTAATGAGCAATGAACGATCACTATTTATTGATAATGGTAATATAAACTAGGACGGCTTATCAATTATTGATATACAGTAAGTCTTTGCTCGCCTGTCTTTGTATTTATGTTCACAATTGGTGAGTGTACATTTATTATACAAAAAATAGGGTGCTAGACAAAGCTTATGAAACCTAATTATTTATTGATAAATGACACCATGACCTCTTTTGGAATATGAATTGTCAGTGCAATTACTTATAAATGATACTACATTCTTGTTTATAAAATGGTATATTGTTAACGTACAAATTAATGATGCTATGACCCAGTTTAACCGGAATATTTTGCCGTTTTTTTTAATACTGAATGAGACATTGTCACTTTCAATATTATTTTGTTGGTAACTATAAATGAGCAAAGTAGAAGCTGATAAGAAGAGTGTCTTCTTCTTCGCTTTCCAGTGAATTTATTTACATGCAATTGCTGATTTTTCTGATCTGTCCATTATTTAAATATGACTTTTTGGAAATGAGTTCTGATTTGTTTTTATGTAAAGGGAAACAGACAGATAGACAGACAGACAAACAGACAGACAGACAGACAGACAGACAGACAGACAGACAGACAGACAGACAGACAGGCAGGCAGGCAGGCAGGCAGGCAGGCAGGCAGGCAGGCAGGCAGACAGACAGACAGACAGACAGACAGACAGACTGACTGACTGACTGACAGACAGACTGACTGACGAGAACTGATTCAAATACCGGGTGTCTAAAGAAAAGAGTACTCACTTAAACGGCAATAACTCGGTTATCTTTGAACCAATTCTGGTAAAACTTCATATTAATATGAAAAAAAATAACCAATTTATTTGAAAATAACAAATTTTTACATTTTCAACCAAAATTGGCTTAAACGCAAAACTTTTTAATAAAATCAGCCACAATATTCTATATCATAGCCACTATTTATCCCGTGAAAAACAATAAAATAATACAAAACTTATGTTGCCAGGCAGACTCAAGTAAGCTGTTCGCTATTAAAATTTCCAGGCGTAAACAATTTCTTTTCATACAAGCTCCAATACACCGCAGGAAATTTTAAGCCCTGTGGCATGTTTTTGGGTCAGTTCTTTGGAGGTCCTGTTCAACATTGAGTTTTAGCTGTTTGATTGTTTTTGGGTTCTTTATATCACTCTGTGTGTCAAAAAAGCAAACCCAAAGGTAATAGATCCCACTGAAGAGGATTGAGTTGGGCGGAATGTGGTAGCCACTCACTTGAAAATGTTCATCTCATAAGGCGTTCCCCAAACCTTTCTTGCAGCCATATCAGGGCCACTCTTGGTGTGAGGGTTGTGGCCCCATCCCACTGGAACCAGACCTAACACATTCTCTCCCAACTTCTACAAACCTTCTGATGTGACTGTTGTAGTTTTATCGTCCTTGTCCTGAAGCTAGGGGGATATCACGCCCCTGGAGCTTATAAAATTATAAAAAGTAAAATTTTGCTTTTTTAAAATCCAATTTTGGTTGAAATGTTTAAAACTTGATATTTCTCGAAAGCGAGTGTTGATACGACCGAGTTTAAATCGGTATTTTTCTTTTTTAGACGACCTGCATTATTTGTCCTTAGAAAGGCAAAGAGCAAACGAGAATGGTAGATGATGAAATGCGACAATGAATGACTGAATCAGGAGCGTCAAAGAGGCGAAACTCCCCAGAGAAATGAGGACATACGCCATTCGTGTTCCTGTCATTTTTTTCCTTTTAATAACTTTTTGTTTTGTTTTGCTTTGTTTATTTATTGTTGTTGTTGTTATTGTTTGGGTTTTGTTTTGGTTTTTTTTGTTTTTTTGGGGGGGTTGGTTTTGTTTTTTCTATAGATCTAGTTATACATGTAGGTATGCTGTTTGTTTTGCCAGAGGTTCTTGAGAATACATTCATGTGCCACAAAAATTTGTGAGTACAGATTTTCCCATCCATGCTTGCATTCCATTTGTATTATTGTGTTTTCATCTAATCTGTACTCGTATACACTCGTGTTCAACGGTATATGAAAAACTATTTGTATCACCACTTGCTGACCCCATTAGTTGATCATAATGAAATTTACGCGAAAAATGCTGAATGGTGTGATTAAAGAAAAGAATAAAGATTCTGCACACTTGATGTGAATTTCATTGTACGAAAATACTGTTATAGGATTATGAAATTAGGTAAACACATGGTTTTTAGCGTTTCTTCTGCCCATTTGTACATAATATGTTTATTATATCTATTGATATGTGACAGATAGTGGCGTCAGAAGCGTTGTGGTTAAGCTACAGGACCCGTAATCGTGAGATTGAGAGTTCGGGGGATCGAACCTCAGCCCCGTCCGACGTTGTGTTCCTGGGAAAGGCACTTTGCACGAATTTTCTATTAGGCTCGGTCCTTTCTGGGATGGACGTTCAACTAATAGCGTTGATAGGGGCGTTAAACAAATACCAATACCCATTCACCACTATTTTGTGACAGGTGGACACAGTATAAAATAGAAGACAGGCATAGATATCTCATGTCTGGGACCATATGGTCAGTGGGTGGGGAAGGAGAGGGGGTAGTGAGGAGAACATCGAGGGAGTACCAAGAG